TCACTGAGGCCTCTAAAACAGTTTGTCGTCTTTTTATCCTTTTTGGTCTGAGTCCATGAAAACTGCACTGAAATCACAGAGCTCCCAATGAAGTCCCAGTTAGTACTACAGATTACACAAATGGACAGCAATGCCTCAGATCGGATGCCCTTTATCCAAAAAAGGACGCTACTTCTTGTCTGTCTGGCAGGCTTAGGATCCTAACAACCTTTCAAGTCAATGCTTTTTCTTTATGCTGCTTTCCTGGTAAAGAGTAAGAGCTGGTTGAAATGAAACATTCCCAGATGAAACATTTCACAGTTCACCAAAACTAAAGCACCTGTCAACTATAGCAATAAAGTACTCATAAAAGCATCCTGCAACTGCAATTAACTTATGATTCCACAGCAGACCAGATTAAATTACCGCCAGTAAACTGATCAAGTAAACCACTCAGCAGTAACCAGACACACTAGGTAGGCAGAGAACACATATCCTTGTATCTGAATTTCTTTTTAGTAAACACAGCCAAGTGTACTGTTCAGCTATCTTTGAAAGGCCTACAGGGACCCCACCTTACCTTATATAGTTACCTCCTAACTTCAAAACCACACAAATGACAGTTTCAGACACTTTGCATTTTAGTCCATAAACTGCCATTGTGAAACAACTGACAATGAAAGTGGAAAAGTGCACTGGCTTGGAGGATTTCAGGTTCCTAATCAAGAAGTCTGAAACCCTAGTTACCAAAATGTAGTATACCCAGGGTTCCTAGGTGGGAGAAGGAACTATGTAAAGGGTGTGTGGGGCGACCTCTACCAATGATGTTATATAGTTGTTGGGTTTCATCACTAATAAAACTTCTCCTTTAAAAGGGATTTTAAAAGCTCTGACATAAATAAAACTTCACTTGGGGCTGGAGGTTTAGCTCAGCGGCATAAGCGCCTGCCTTGAAAGCGGGCAGTCGTGAGTTCGATCCCCGGTACCGATAAAAAGGAAAAAGACAAAAAAAAAAAAAATAAAAATAAAAAAAAATAAAACTCCACTTTTCCTACTTTTTGAAAGAACTTTATTACACTGAGTTTGTAATTAAGGTTGGATAAAGTAAAGAAGCATTTCACACGTAGCCATGGGAACTCCCATTCATTATTGTTCAAGGCTTGCACCAACACCCAGTATTTCAATGTCCCTTTTTCTAGTGATAAAACCTCAATAATCTTCACTTTTCACTTATCAATACATAGCTCACCCACATTAATCTTTCATGTCAAAATCTGACATTGTTCCCAAAAGATTACGTTTCTATCCAGTTGCAGCTAAACAAGCTATTAACAGCATATTAATTACTGATTCACTCTAGATTTGTTCAAAGCAAGTTTTTCTAGAGATACTTGAATCTACCCAAAACTCCACTCATTCCTTCCAAAATACCACAAACAATAATTTAGAACAGGTACCATTGGGATGTTCTCCTATAATTTAACGATCCACACTTTTAAGAATAGATAATGGTATAGCAGATCCAAATAGAGATCCTAGTAAAGTTACTTCCTTTTAAGTAATGTTTCACTCTTTCTACTTAAGGAGAAAATTTCTGTAGCTGATAGGTCCTTTATACTGTCCCCTAACCAATGGCTGTTTCCAAGCATTCTGCAAGTACCAGCATCTAGCTACCCATCAGTAACATTTTTTCACTGTGTTTATTTTTATGGTGAGCATTCAGATGTAACAACCATATATTATGTACTTTCTTTTGTAATTAATTGCAGTTAATATTTTTTCTATATTATTTTAGAACCCTGGGTGAGAGAACACAAAGAAAGGGATTGTTGCCCTGGCCTTTCCTGGTCACAAGTTACTGCATGCCTGTCACTGTAACCAAGACCACTGAGTTCCCTTTCTCCAGTAACAGTAAAAAGCCCTAGCTTACAGCCTGCTATAAAATGTTCTGGTTAAGAAGCCTCTGGAGTTTCTACCAACAAAGTAAGGAAAATAAAATACAGTATGTTACTTTGAGAGGATCTGGTGGGGGCACCAACAGGCTTGCTAATAAACTACTTCTTTGCTACTAAAAAGGAACTTTCGTCTTCCTACATTTAATTCCTTGAACACGGTGTACTGTAGCTGACTTCTCTGGGCCTGAACTGGCCACATGGTTTACACTGCAGCTGTCTACTATACTTTGAGCTTCTGGTGGACATGATTTATGCCTTTTTAGGGGGCTTTTTTTTACTCCAGGGCTAAGTGGTCCTTTGTAGATACTCAATATGTGTTTATTGGATAAACAATCAAGTGTTTGGAGTTGGCCCTGTACTTAATTTTTCTCCTTTCTTAAAAGATATATTGATTTAAAATTCAGACATCAGTAGTGTCTGTACTTTGATCCAAGCCACGCACACACTTATGGGCCCAAAGTACCTACAACCTTATAAATAACTCCCCGTAAACTCCGAAGCTGAAGGACACAGGCTTTAAGTGTTGAAATTTTGAAAACACCGTTTTCATCTGCTCTTTCCAAAAAAAAAAAAAGCATTTTATATACCAAAATCTATAATTACAGGAAACACTAATGGCTTTTTTTAAATTTTAAAACTATTTTGTATTAAGAGAAATTCCTATTTTATGATTTACTGTTGACATATGGGCACATTATATGTACATCACTTCTAGAGAAACTGCTGTATAAAATTTGGATTCACAGTGTATTATGGCAAAAAATAATTACCAAAAGATACACAAAACTTGAAACATCAAACAAAGCAGTGAATCCAAGCTCTGACATTCCTTAGTAACCTACACAACTAATTAGGAATTTCAACATTTCATATTCTTTAATTTTATAACTTAGGAGCCAGCATTATTACTAAGCAGATGTCACATACATTACTAGGAATGGCCAAACAATGTAAAGGTCAAAGTGAATCACAAATGGAATACGTCTAAAATGCTTACCTTCCTACTTGTGGCCAATGAAACTTTTTAAAGAATTATAATGATTAGATTTTAAAAGGAACAAGGAGAATACAGATTATATAAAGAAGGTAGTACGAATAAACAAGTAATAAGAAAGTCTACCTATCAAGTCTGGTCACTTTTCTACTACCTTCAGTAGCATTTTGAAGCACACTGCTCCTTCTTAATCATTTCTCTACATTTTCCAACGTCATTAGATCATATTGGTCCATGACCTACCTTAATACTAATTTTTTTAACACTTTTTTTTTTTGTCTTTTTCGTTTTTTTTAATCAGTACCAGGGATCGAACTCACGACTGCCTGCTTGCAAGGCAGGCACTTATGCCACTGAGCTAAATCCCCAGCCCCAATACTAATTTTTTAGTAACACCTGTAGACTACTGCTACTATTTCTAATGATTTTCAAAAGAATATGCACCTGTAGGGAGGCTGAGGCAGGAAAATTGCCCTGAGATGGTCCAAGCCAGCTTGGGCAACATCAGTTCAAGGGCAGCCTAAACTACACTGTGAGATTCTGTCTCAAAACAACAACAACAAAAAACATAAGTCTTTTAGAATAAATACTGTAGTGGTACATTCCCCAAATAATAGAACCAATAATGGACTCAATTTAAATTCGCATGTATTTAAATTCGTCAAGAGCAGATAAATCAGCCTCAGCCTCTCCCTCTAACCAGCTTTCTCTTTTATCCCACAGCTGGGCCAGATCTAATTTTAAAATCGACAAAAAAAGGTGAAGGCTGGTCTTCAAAAGCAGCTCTTAAGGTCTGTAGGGAAGGAATTCCACAACACCTCTGGGGGCCCAGTAAGTCTGTATGCTGCCAGACAGGTGGAGGTATGGAGTGGGGGCAGCTGGTGCTTTAAGTGCTAAAACACTAAGACCTCTATCTAGTCAAGAAATGGGTAGATTTCTTTGTGAAAAATAACATGAACAACAACAACAACAAAAAAATCCCACGCTAAATCAGAGGATATTTGCATTTAGCTTTGCACATATCTATAACTTCCTTATTTTTCCATGCTCAAATGTTATTTTAGGCAGAAAATCTTCGATCGAGTGAGCCAGTCTCTGACTTGTCAGAGCACCCACCCAAAAGCATCATCGTCATCATCCTATTATCCCAAGTATTTTTAGAGAGCAAGGAATATTCTTCCAGCCCAGTATGCAGTTAACATACTACTACACTACAGATTGTTTTGAGTAGGGGTATGGCTCGTCTCTTTTGAATTCAGAAACTGGGGGACGGTCATCGGAAAACCTTCACAAAGGCCTAGCCTCTAGGCTGCTTCAAAACAAACAAATAGGAAGAAAGCTCACACCGAAAACCACGTGCCTCCAGTAGGAAGTACATTACCACTCCCTTCCCCGAGAAAGTGAACTTTCCAGGGAGCCGTTAACAAAGTATTTCTAAATATCCGATGTGTCATTCATGTATTTACTTGCCTCATGCTTCTTAACCAAGAGAGGTTACATTCCTCTGAGACCAAAGAGTAAAACTAATTTCCCTTTAATATTAACGGCGGGGGGGGGGGTTATGTAGTAAAAACAAAAGACAGAGTCCCTCAACAGTGCCAAAGCCCCGCGGTGGGTTCCGATGTCAACAAAGTAGCGCAGGGGCAGCAAAAAGTCCGCCTGCTCGGGGCCTGCAGGTGAGGCGGAGGCGAGTCTGGATTCCGGGAGATTTGGGAGGAATCGCGCCCACTGCCGCCCAGCCGGGTACTCTGCGGGTCCGCGCCCCGAGTGGGGAGCAGGCCTCGGGCGATAGCTACCCACGCCCGGCCCGCAGAGCGCCGTCCCCGCCCGGTCCTTGGCTGGGCACCGGTCCTCAGGCGCCGCGCATCTCCGCCAGCCCGGCCAGTCCGCATTTCCTCCCCAGCGAGCAAGCCGAGGCTCTGGGTCAGGGGTCCCCGCGCCGGGGGTCCCCGCCTCCCGCCATTTCTCTGCCTCGCCTCGGTTCGCAGCGGGAGAACCTCAAGGTGACACCTCCTGAGGGGCGGCGGATAGGGGCTCCCGGCCCGGCTCACGTCCGCGCCCCGTCGCCTCACCTGGCAGCGGCACACGATGTCCGCGTCCTGCGCCAGCAGATCCACTACCTTCCCTTTGCCTTCATCGCCCCACTGCGCGCCCAGCACTACCGTCACCCGGTTCCCTCCTGCCGGCGCCCTGAGGCGGCCGCACTCGCCGTTGGGCAGGGAAGATGCCGCCGGGGCGACCGACATGACTCCAACGAGGCGCGGAGAGCCCAAAGGAGATGAGGAAGCGAAGAGTGCGCGAACTCAAGCGCTCTGCTGGGGCCAGCCACATGCGGAGGAAGAAAGAGCCAAAGGCCGGCCCCGCCCCCCGCGCGCCCGGCCCCTCCAGCTAGGCCCCGCCCTGTCTCCGACACCCCGGCTCAAAACGGGACCATGACTGCCCCGCGCAGGCGGACCTCAGCAACACCTACGTCCCAAAGGCCCTGGCGGCGGCAATGGCCGCCACCCGGGACTGAGGCCACGCCCCTTCCGTGGCCAGGAGTGTCACTCAGGCGAATCCCGCGAGCGGAAGGGGCGGGGCTTAGAGCGCGCATCGCCCATCACGCCCCGCCTACCCACCTTTCCTCTGGTTTTCAAATTTGAGAGATACGTAGACTTGTGAGGAGCGTCGAACTACATCTCCCGACGTGCAACGCTGTGCGTAGAGCGACGTAATTTGGTGCCAGTTGGTTTTAAGAACTGAAAGAATTCTTTTGTTTTTTGAAATACTAATTTTTATTGAGGAAGGAGATAAAGTTTACAAAACACAAAGAAGGTAATTTCAAAACACAAATAAGATAGAATTGGACCGTATAAATTGAAAGTTAAAGTTCTAGAAGAGCAGAAATGGTGACAGGGATAAAAAAGGGCAAACTCAAAAGTAAAGCAGTAAAAGTGTAACCAGGAAATTTGGAGATCAGTAGAGCCCTAACCTGTTTCATTTTGCATGTTAGTGACCGCGGCTCGAAGAGAGCGAATTATCTACTTTATACAGGACATGCAGATACAGTACTGGAATGCACTGGGATTTTTAATCCCCACAATCATATAATGTACGTGGGTGTCCTCGTTTTATAGGATTTGCTTTTTCCTTCTAGTGCTGCGGATCAAACCCAAGGTCTCAAGTATGCTAGGCAATTACTCTGCCACTAAGCTGCACACTAGCCCATTTTATAGGTTTTCAAGCTATGTAACTTACCCTAGTGCGGCTCAGATTGGTACTTTGGCAGACTGCATGTAAGATACCCTACCCTCGCTTAGCTTCAATTGTGGGTATATTCCAGAGTATCCCAAATGTTGATTTAATACTCTTTCGACTGCAATGCGAATTAATTATGATGTCTAATTCTGATTTTTAAAAATTTCTACCAAAAGGGCTGGGGATTTAACCCAGTGACTCAGGCACTTCCCTGGTAAGTGCAAGGTCGTGAGTTCAATCCCCGGTACCAAAAAAAAAAAAAAAAAAAAAAAAAATTGGGAGCAGGACAAAATCGCCTTGTGTGTAGTGTCTCCCAAACTTATGAACTATCATCTTCTACAGTGGTCCTCACAGCCCATTGTAGTACACTGTCTTACTATTTCTACCCAATGCTTTGTCAGTACACATTGAGAACCTACTACAAACTAAGACTACTGCGCACTGACCTCTGAGGATTCAGATTGTTTGGTCTCCCTGTGTATGATAATGTATTTATCTCAGCTTTATCACAGAATAAGCTCATTGTAAACAGGAACGCTGTCTGATTTATTGAAAAATGCCCGAGACAGTGTTGGGCACAGAGTAGATTGTGTTCACAGTGCATCTGCCAGATATGTATTTGCTAGAACAGTGGTGCTAAACCGTCACACCAATATTTGAGCTAAACAATACAGTGACTAAAAAAATACACCTTTTGACCAACTCGGATTTTTCGCCAAGGGGTTTGGCTATGCCCTTCCCTAAAATCTAGTCTATATTTTAGAAAGTTAGGGCACCAGCTAACTTTGAGATCACTTGTCTTTCCCTTTGCAGGCACGTGTGGCCCGGACGCTGAGCCGAGGACGTTGGGGCGAGGACTCTGTATCATGTCAGCCACACGGGTGGTGGCGCTGCTGCTGGAGCTGAGCTGCTGCAGTTCAGCACTGTGGAGGTAGACAAACGCTAGTTTCGGGGACCAGACAGGGCAGAGTCGTCCCCTCACCCCCACCCCCGGGCCGAGCCTGCAATACCCTTGGCCCTACTAGACCGCTGCCTTGTCCCCCAGCTCAGGAAGCAGATCACCGCGCTGGTTCCCCCAATCCCACCTTTCCTGGCGTCTTAAGGCTCTCTTCTAGTTCCCTCAGAAGACTGATGGGATCTTCATGCTGCTGTCTCCTGAACAGCTGCCGCTTTCTGAATTTTCCACTTTTTAAATTTTATTTATTTGTTTCTCTGGCGCCCCTCTCTGGCTGAATTCGTAAAATGGAATCCCACTGTTTTTTTACTAGTACAAGTTTGCAGTACATGATGTTTATGTTCTTTGTGGAGGGTCGGAACATGCACATGACACATCCTAATTCCCTTTTTCATCCCCTTTCCTTCCTCTCCCTCCATTTCTTGATTCCCTTCCCATTTAAGAAAGATCTACTGTATCTTCCTACTTCCTATTTCTTATTTTGTTCATTATGTACAGTTTGGGCTTCCCATATAAGAGAAACCATGTGTTACTTAGCTTGTGTATTTCATTTATTTCACTTACTATTACGGACTCCAGGTAAACCTTTTCTCCTACAAATGACTCAAGTTTTTCTCTCTTTATGGCAGAATAGTACTCCATGTAAATCTCATATTTTCTTCATCCATCCATTAATGAACACATGGGCTGCCTTCCATTTCTGCAAACTGCTGTCAAAAAGGAGAGGAGTAAATGAGATCCTAAATGTCACCTCCTGAAATTAGCAGGGGGCGGCATTTTAAAAGGACAAGTAGCAATGGATAAGGTAGTTGGAACAGAGTAAATTATGTGAAAGTGCTTTATATGATACAAATGCTTTACAAATGTAAGGAAAGGTAATTCTTATAAAAGAGGAGTTGAATGAAAATGTTATAAAGTTTTAAGAGATCTTTAATGCAGGTTTGATTTTTGTTTAGTATTTAGTAATTGTTGCACTGGAAGGTTTGTAAAATATTTTAGAAAGATTTTCAACATACTCAGGTTAAAATCCAGCTGATTAACCAGAAGATAACACTCTTCAACTGTTCTCTTTTTTTTCTTTTTTTCGGGTACCAGAGTTCAAACTCACAACCTTGGGTTTGCCAGGCAGGTGCTTATGCTGCTGAGCTACATCCCCAGCCCCAACTATTCTATTTTTGCTATAAAGATAATTATTCTCTAATATTAATGATATAGGGGGAATAAAACTCCAACCTACTCTAAAGTCAAAGAATGAATTTTAGGAACAACAGAGATTCAGAGCAGTATGTATTTATTGAGAGAAAGAAATCCTTTATCTGAGAGACAGAAGGGCTCCCAAATGAGTTGTCAAAGTTTGTCTTTTCTAGGGGCTTTTATAGAATTAAAAAACAGGTGAGGCAGGTCTAAAGTGGGGAAAACTCACGAGGTGGGCATGAGGTGGGACAGAACAATGGCCAACCAATAAAATTAATTGCTCAGGTAAAATTGATTAAATTGGGGACAAATAGGGAAATGGGTCACATAGCAAGTGGCCATAAATATAGAACAGTGACTCTTCCTGTAAGGAGTTGGCATGATGAGTACTAGCTTCCTCAGGGTGATAGAGACCTAGTTAGACTATCAATCCCTGATACTTATCCTTAGGAAGTGTGCGGGTATGTTTAACTTATCTTTTGTCTTGAGGCGTGGCTCACAGGGAGGTGTCTGAGTTCCCTAGTTACAAGGTGTCTGCCTTTCTACACTGGCTCCTTTGAGGGCCCAGCCCTGTTTGACTGCCTATAATATTTCTATCTAACTGAGTTGCCTATAACGTTAACATTTATGAATACCAACAATAAACCATTGTAGAAGTTTCCGTACAATGAGGAAAAGGCTTCCCTTTCCAAAGTATATCTCATTGGATAGATGAAGGAGTCAGAGAGCTTGGGGTGCTGGCACCCATCTCCAATTGCAGCCCTTTGGGAGGCTGAGACACAAAATAAGGATAAAACATCTGGTTGGATTATTATGAGGCTCGAATATATTGGTGTACTTAGAGCTCTCAGCCCATGCAAAAGATAGACCCATAAGCCATGATCACTGATATTAATGATGGCCTGTGAATTCAGGGAGTTTATAAGCTTTTTTATTTTGAACACCAGAGGTCACCAAATGTTTTTGTAAAGGACATGGCAGAGTATATATTCTAGACTTTTTCTGGCAATACAGTTTATGTTACAACTGTTCAGCTCTCTGCCCTAGTATGAGACAGCACATGCCGACAATAGTAAACAAATGTGTGTGATTGTATGCCAATAAAAATTATTTATAAAAGTGTAGAATTTGGCTTCCAGGGCTGTTTGCCAATGCTGACTAACATACATGACTGAAGAAAATGCTCAGGTTCATTTAGATGTTAATGAGAACAAAGATGTTATTTTTTGTTATGGCTGTCACAGTCTCTGAATTTTATTTAATTTTATTTAATTTTATTTTATTTTATTTTTTTTTTTTTTTGGTACCAAAGATTGAACTCACAACCTCACACTTGCCAGGCAGGCGCTTACACTGCTGAGCTAAATTCCCAGGCCCTGAATTTTATACTTTAATAAGGTGTCCTTTTGAACATATAATTTCGGGACTGGGTATGCAGCTCAGTGGTAGAGCACTTGAGTAACATGTGTAAAGACCTGTGTTCAAACCTCAGCACTACAGTACAGAAAGAATAAAATGTCTTAAACTTAACATGATTTTTAAAACTTTATTGTTTGTTAGCTTTCAGGGGAGGTCGGGTGAGAAGTTTCTTGGTTAAGAAACTCTTCCCTGCCTCAAGGCCTTTTTTTTCTTCTAAAAGCATTAACATTTTGTTTTTGACATTTAAATTTGTTAAATAAAATTTTTGGAGACCATTGTTTAGCCTGAATTTTGTCAGCTGTGTAATAGAACAGACTAACATGGGGTTGCTCACCCCGAAATTCTATGTCATCAAAACCCAAACCAAGTTGTTATGAGTAGGGAAATCTGCAGAGGTAGCAGCCAAATTCTGAAACAGGTCAGCTTCAATCACCATGATAATTAAGTTCCCTCTCTGCTTTAATCTTTATAAAAAGTAACAGAGAAAACAATAATGTTTACTAATCAGTTATTTTTCTATTGTTCTATTTCCAGATTTCTGCCTTTCCAAAAAACATTGAAATAGACCAGTCTGTTATGTTCAGCCCTTTTCTGTCTATGAAACCAACTTTTTCTGCTGCCGATCAGACTTCTTTAGAGAATAAAGTGTTGTCCCATGGTAGGATTGTAAATAAAGTCAATTAAGATCTTTAAATTATTGTAATTTTGTCTTTTACATGTTCTCAATCCCAGTGGAGTTGGTTTTTTGAAATGATACAAGGTAAAGATAGTTGCTTCTTTTTCCTTATGAGTCCAGATTCATTTTTCCAGCTTCATTTATCTTTTTCTCAGTTGATCAGATATACTCCCTCTGCTCTATAACATTTTCTGGTTTATTATTATGTTCTATTCTGTCATTGGTCCATTTGCCTGTTGTTGTACCTGTGCCAAATGTCTTAATTAGATGCCAAGTTTTTGTTGTTTTTGCTTTTTTTGGTTCCAGGGATCGAACTCATAATGTCCCACTTGTAAGGCCAGCATTTATGCCACTGAACTATATCCCCAGCCAGATGCCTTAGTTAGTTAGGTTCCTAGTAAGTCTAATATCTCATAGGGCGTCCCATTCCCTGTTCTTTTCCCACAGTGTCTCGATCATTCTTGGACCTTCACACATTCACACACATGTTAAAATCAGAAGGTTAAGTACCACATGGTGTCTTTTAGGGTTTGAATTGAATTGACAGTGGCTCGGAATGACATCTTTATGAATATTAAATCTTCCTATTCAGTAAATATTGTGTAATCTCAGATTTGCTGCAGAAATTTCTCTCTCTCCATATATATGTTCAAGAATGCTTTCTTTCAATTTTTTGAAAGTGTTTATGTAAGTTTAGGGTAATTTTTACCATGAAAATTTTGGTAGAATTCATGTATAAAAATCCCAAAACTCAGTGTTTCTGGTAAGATTTTAAACTAGTGCCTTATACAGCTGTTTAAGCTTTTTATTTCTTACTGAGTCAATTTTGGTAACATACAAAAATATTTATTCCATGTAATTTTTCAAAGCTGTCATATAATTGAGCTATATGTTTATGCTTTTAATATCTATCTTATCTATAATTATGGCCTCCTTTCATTATATGTTTTTGGTCATGATCAATCTTGTGAGCCTGTCTGTGTTACTCATCTGTTGGAGACCCCTACAGTGGTCCGATCTGCCAAGTGTTACAGCCCACCACAAGAACAAGCAACAAAATATCAGTGCCGCAGGGATCTGGGATGACCAGTTGTTCAGGGGGGACAAAAGGCCACAGGCAGCCAGACCTTGGTATTTATTGATCATTGGGGAAAATGGGTACACTAGACAGGTGGCTGGGCAGGCAAGACTTGTAACACAGGAAACAAAGTATTCTTACAAAGAGGTAGAAGTGCCAGATTTAGGTTATGGTTAGCAAATAACCTGCTTGGTAGCCAATTCTGGGAAAGAATTTTCCTCTGGAGTCATGCTGGCCTCAGTGGAGATATTATATCTTAGCCCCATGGTAACTGCTTGCTATCTTGAAAACCTATACACAGCCTCAGCCAGACTCACTAATTAAACTGAAAGCCAAATTAGGGAAGTCTCCTCTATTCAGCCTGTACCGCTTGCTAGTAAACACAGTCACGTTAGGGGCTGGGGAAGAGTGACGTGGCTTCCATGCTCATCTTCATGTTTTTGTTCGGCATTTTATTGATTTCACCTTTTGATCCTGCTATTTTTTCTGTTTATTCTGATGCTCTCTAACAGCCTTAGTTAGACCATTAGCTAATAGTCTATGCTTTTCTGACATGATTCTTAATGGTATTTATGTCCCTAAGAGCACTGCTTGACTGCATCCCGTAAGGACTGTTGTATAATCTCGTCACTATTCACTTCCGGCTAGTTTAAACTTTGATCATTGTCTTTCCTGTAACCCTCCAATTATTTAGGATTTGTTTTTAATTCCAAATATGCAAGGCTTTTATCATTTGTTATTAACATCTCCATTAATTATACTATATAGTCAGAACCTGGTCTACATGAAGCCAGTTCTGGGAAGTTTGTTGATACTTGCAATATCTAGTTTTATAAATACTCCGTGTGTGCTTGAAAAAGAGCGTGTTTTCTCTAGTGGTCTATTCTATTATTTCTCAATTGTAATGAATTATTTTCTTCTTAAAAATGAAAGTGCTTTCTGTGATAATTTGTCACATATGAATGTATTCTGTAGTAGGTTTCATGGGACTTCTGAGTTTCCTGAAGCTGTCCTTGTGAATGTTTTAATGTGTGCTTCTGTTAGATGCTCAACAGCAGGACCTACCCAAGACCAATTCCTGGATAGGTATAACCGGGTGAGAGAAAGAGAAGATATTTGAGAGAATATGGTTTACTCAAATGTCTTATTCTATAGGCTGGACATAGAGTGAAAAAGTGACATCAGGAAGGGACTCATCTATGGGGAGCTGAAGGAAAGGGTGGGTACTGGATGGGACCCAGGGCACTGAGCTATACCCCCAGGCCCTCCTGTTTGATTTTAAAGAGCTGGTAGGAGGGATGGGAATTACTGCTGGGAGCAGGAAAGATACATTTTTATGGTCCAAGAGTCAAACAATAATGAACTTTCCATTATAAAAAAAAAAAAAAAAGCTCAATACATGGTGTAGCTGAACACGCCACAGCTTCAGCCCTCTCGGATCTGTTTTCAGCAACAATACATTAAGTATTAAGACAATTAGGAGAGTGAAGATGAGAAGGATGGCATAACTGTCTCAGATTAATTAATAAGTGAAATATGACTCCTTGAGGTACTGTTTCCTCCATGCCCTATTGCCAGATCCAAAAGGAGAAGCAGATGACGAAGCAGGTGGAAAGGACCTGCCAGGACAGGTAGTTTTGTCACTTAACCAACAGGTTTCATACACAAATTAAGCTGCATACTTTTCCTTTGTTAATTAGACTACAAAATCTGCCACTGGTATTTGTCTTTCTCCTAGGTGTTTATCTTTTTATATAATGAAATGGATTTTATATTAATACATAAAAATGGATTTTCAAATATATATTGTAAAAAGTGATTTGCTTTTACTGGAAAAGTCTTTGATAAAAATAAAAGTACACTTTACTTTATGAATATATAGAATATACATTAACATTCTTTTCTTACTTGATCTGTACGTGTAGAAATGTGTTTCATTATTTTGGTAACTGGCCCCAATTGAGAAAAAGAATTCAGAGTAATGTTAAGGCTTAGACAACTGTGCTCAGAGAATTACATATGACATCCTAGCACTTTCTCCTTCCAAAACAGAAAAAAAAAAAAAATGCTTCTGTTTTAAAATATTGGGGAGGGAGAAATTCCAGTGGTAATTGAGTATGCATTATAGACGTAGATTATTTAAGTGAAGGGACAGTGAAGAAATTTTTAGGATGTGCTTTGTGATAGTGACTGGGTGTTGTGATTGATACTTTGTGTCAATTTGAGAAGTTTAGAAGTTTAACCCAGAAACTCATCAGGGAACCTGATCCTTACTTTGTAAATATCCTCATCCTGTGAAAAGGAGGGCATAGAGATTTTGGGGGTGCTGCACCTGCCCCTGGGGGCAGGGGGGAATGGCCTGTGTACAATATGAGGGGAAAAAAAGAGACTTGTTTCCCCTATTTTGCTCTACCTGCTGCCTTAAAATGTTGCCCCAGTGCCAAGCCACCCTGCCATTTGATTATAGGCCGAAACCTCCACAGACAGTAAAATAAATAAACCTTTGCTGTCTTCATTTTGGTTGTGGGATATTTTGTCCCAGCAACAAGAGAAAAGTAACCACAACACTGGACACACATGGATTTTGAGTGCTTGAAATTGGAGTGTATGCACATCACATGTGGAAGTCTTAGTACAAGAAAACTGTAAAATGCCTCACTAATAATTTTTATACCGATTACATGTCAAAGTGTATTATTAAAATTAATTTCACCTACTTATTCTTGTGATTTTAATGTGGCTATTAGAAACATTGAATGTGCCTAGGTGACTTGTATTATATGTGTTGGACAGTGATGCTTTGGCTGAATTAGACAGAAAATGAAGTAGCCTGGATAACAGGACAAAAATGATTGTAAGACCCACAGAAATTTGTTCTTTGGTTTTCCAAATGAGAAAGACTGGTTTTTGAAATTTCAATCTTTATTATCTTTATTTAAGCTCAGTTTACAGTGAAGGAATTTGAGCCAACAATCTTCAACAGTGTTTATAATCAAAAAATGTATTTCTTTTTAATTTCATTTTTATAACTTCAAAAAGCTCTAACAAGCTTAAAGGGGTGGATTGAGGTCACTGGGAAACTCAGTTTACCTGAGTTCACTTTCTAGAAGAGCCCCTAGACAGAAAGACAGAGTTCTTGCCAGCTCAGGTGGGCCTTGGCCATGCATAGATCCATTGTATTTAGAAAAAATCAGCGTTAACCATCACACCTGGTCTTTCCTCTACAGGTATTCAAGTAAGAGCCCACACCATCACATTATTAGTACCAGAAGTGCTGTAAGTGTTGACTTTTCTTAAAAACTACAGTTAAATATGAAATACTTTGAACATGGAACAGAGAGTAATCATTGTTTTATTTTTATTTACTTGCCTTCATTCCATTTGTCATCCTAACATAGCTCCCTTCTCCAATACATGTTCTTTATCTGTATTTAGCAAAACACAGTGTGGTTTTCTGATTTTATGATTAATACTCACGGAATGATGTTATGATATAGACAGTATATTGTCTAAAAACTGAAGTATCAAGAATGAAGAATACTATTAGTAGTTATTTAGCAAGTAATTGTACAAGGGTAAGCTGGACTGTCTTAACTAGGCAGACATAGCTGTATGGTCAGCCATGCTATAGACTTTATTTTTTTAAATTTAAATTTGTTGATACAGTTTAGATATACATAATGACGTATCTTGATTCCTCTTTTCCCCCCATTCTCATCCCCTCTTTTCAACTCCCTTCCCCTCCTCATTCACAAAGCTCAGTTTTCATTTTAACCTTCTTTTCTCACTGTTTTCTTTCCCTTTCTTCCTTTCCCCTTGGCCCTGCTTATTTTCTCTTTACCTTTGTACAGTTTCTTCCTATTTCACAATATCTATTGTATACTTATATTCCTATTTACACTTTTGGCTTCTCAACACCAGAGAGATAATGCTATATTTACATATGTGTGCCTGATTTATTTCATTTATAATTATGGATTAAAGGTCCATCCATTAGCTATAAATGTCTTAATTTTGTCTTTTTCTATGGCTGAGTAATACTCCCTTATGTATTAAAGGAAAACAAGACATCTTTTTTATCCATTCATTGGTCGATGGGCATTTTGGTTGCTTCCAAGATTTAGCTATTACAGACTCTGCCACTATAAACCTGGGTGCATATCTATGGCTGTAGAATGATGTTTTTAATTCTTCTGGGAAGATAGAAGGAGAATAACTGGGTCAAATGAGACCACTAATTCTAGTTTTTGGAAGAATTTCCACACTTATTTCCAAGTGGTTACATTAGCCTACACTCCCACCAATAGAAGTATTCCTTTTTCCCCACACCCCCATCAGCATTTGCTATTGGTTGTTTTCTTCATAATATTCATGCTTTCTGGACCGAGATGGGACCTTGGCTTAGGTTTAATTTCCTTTTCTCAAATGACTAGTGATGCTGAACATTTTTTTCATATATTTGACATTTGTGCTTCTTCTGACAAATGTCTATTTATCTCAGATACCATTTGTGGATTGGATCTTTGAATTTGCAGGATCTATTTTTTTAGCCTTTTATATATTACAATATTAATTCTTTGTCTGAAGAACTGCTCGCATAAATTTTTTTCCACTCTGTGGGTTGTCTTGTCACTCTGTTAAGTGATTTCTTTTGCTGTGCAAATGCTTTTCAATAAGATGAGATCCCAGTTGTTGATTCTTTGTGGTAGCTCCTGTTCAATTGGGATTTTGTTCATAAAGTCTTTGCCTACCCTTGCATCTTTCAGAGTTCTACTTATTCTATGTTTTAACAGATTTAGTGTTTCCCTTTTAACATTTAGATCTTTGATCCATTTTGATTTTAGCTCAGTGCATGGTGATAGACATGGGTCTCATTTTATTCTTCAGCATATATAAAGCCAGTTTTCCAGCACCATTTATTTATTAAAAAGCCTATCATTTTTCCAATGAATGTGTTTGACCCTTTTGTCAAAGATAAGGTGACTGAGTGCTTTGGAGTTGTTTCTGAATCTTCTAGTCTGTTCCATTGATCCTCAGGTCTGTTGTTTCATCAGTACCATGCTGTTTTTAATTACAGTAGCTCTGTAGTATAATTTCAAGTCAGGGATTGTGATGGTCCTTTCTTACCTTTGTTGTCCAGAATTCCTTTTGTATTCTAGGTCTCTTCTGGATCCAAATGAATTTTAGGATTGTTTTTTCTAGTTCTGTGAGGTATGCTAATGGTATTTTGATTTGGATTGCATTAAATCTATATAGAAATTTTGAGAGTATGGTCATTTTACTATGTTGGTTCTTCCTACGCAAGAACAAGTGGTATCTTTCTATTTTCTGATATCCTCTTTGATCTCCTTTTTCAGAGTATTATAGTTTTTATTGTGAAGATCTTTTACTTCTTTTGTTAGATTGATTCCTAAGTATTTTAGGTTGAAAGCTTTCAGTTTTTGTCCATTTAGTATGATGTGGCTGTTGGTTTGTTATAGATGACTTTTATCAGATTATGATAAAGACCATCTATTGTAATTTTCTCTAGGGTTTTTAGCATGAATGAGTGTTATACTTTGTCAAATACTTTTTGTGCATCCACTGAGATGATTATATGATTTCTGCCCTTTGCTCTGTTGATATGGTACATTACATTCATTGATCTACATTTATAGAACCAACCCTGCATACCTAGAATTAGTCCTACTGGATGACGTTATAATCTTCTTGATGATTTACTGAATCCTAATTGACAGTATCTTATTGAAGATTTTTACATCTGTACTCCTTTTTAGTCGGATCATTCTCTGGTTTTGGTATCAGGATAATATTTTCTCCCAAAAATGAGTTTGAGGAGTGATGGCATTAGATCTCTAAATTTCTTATAGAACTCAGCACTGTATCCATCAGGACCTGGATTTTTCTTTGTTGGTAGGCTTTAATTACATTTTCAATTTCACTGACTGATATTGGGTTATTTAGAATTTTTATATCTTCTTGATTCAGCTTTGGTAGTTCATACGTATCTAGGAAACTATGCATTATTTGTGTTTTCCATTTATAGTTATAGAACAAAATATAAAAGAAATCAGAAATTATATGCAGTAAATATCCCCTCAATAGAGTGATTTTACCCTTAACTAAGAACATATGAAAGAGACAAGGTGTAAATATAAATATAAGAAAAAAAGAGATTAAAAGCAAGCCTGAAAAGACAAAAGATTACCCAAGGTTTGGGAAACTGGTGAAGAAGACAGGAGGGAAAGAAAGAAGAAAAAAAACAAAAATAAAAACTAAAAAAGTATTTGAACTTCTGAAAAAACAAAAACAATGATAAAAGAAAAACAAACTGACAAAAAAATAATTTTCTCTGTAATCTCAAGCCTGTGGTTATCTTCTGGGTTCTACAGATTTTCAGTAGTGTTTGATTCAGGGGTGTAACTCTACTGTGACTGGTAGAGAAAGGCGGCTATCTGAGCCCTGATAGGTACTGCATAACCCCAAGGTAGGATCACGGTGGGGTGCCCACTCTGGTGCCTTCAACTCCACAGAAGTTCAGGCTCAGCCCGACCTCTGGTTGTGAAGCTAAGCCTGTGTTGTTCGGCCTCCAACAGTCTGGATGTCTCTTGCTGGCTGACTAAGGCTCCCTGACCCTAGATGTCCTCTGCAGTTGACACTCACCCAATTACTGTGACATTTCAACACTAAGGGCCCTGAGATAAGGTGAACTCACAGCTGCTCTGAGTCCTGAGTTCCAGGTTCAGTTACCCATCCTACAATGACATCCAGGCAAGGACTCTTTCTAGGGGACACAGCAGTCACTGGGACTGGAGTCCCTCACCAGTTGTCACAGCATCCATTGCTCCATTCCACCAGTGCATTTTCCCGAGACCTCTGGAGTCACTGGTCCTCACTGTGACTCTGTAGGTTCAATCCTTTCTCCTCCTGGGAGCTGGGAGCTGGGAGCTGGGAGCTGGGAGCTGGGGTTAAAGTGCAGCTTGTCCCCCACCCCCTTTTTCTGCACTGTGCTCTGTCTCTTCACTTTCTCTCTTCACTGGGCTCCAGTTTTCTCTTCAGATCTTTCCTGGGTCCCAGTGATCCACTTCCCTCCTTATGTTCTTCCCAAAATTGTTATTTTCCAATCTGGATTCCAAGTCTTGGAGCAGTTGATTTATTGCTTCTGATCACTCCACCATCTTCCCAAATGTCTGATAGATTATTTTTTAAGTAAAATGAAATTAAAAGTCCGTTGGATTGTACTTCATTTGTAGAGTTGTGCTAGCAAGGCCTGATGTTCAATCTCAAACTCCCAATTTTAAGTTGTTAGGTAGATTTGTTTGGTTTGGTTTGGTTGGGTTTGGTTTGGTTTGGTTTGGTTTTCAGTTCTGGGGATCAAATCAGGGCCTCATACATGCAAGTCCATCATTCTCCCACTGAGCTAAAACCCTCAGTCTAACTTCAGAGGTTTTTAGAGGCATTACCATTTTTCTTTTGTCATATTGCTTCCAAAGGATTAAATTTTAGTTATTTTTTCTTTAAATGACAAGGACCCTAAATTTGAAGCCTACCACTGAATTCTGAGGTAAATATTGTGAAATAGCTTTTCATTTGAGTTCTGTCACTATTTTTTAGATCAAGTTAGAGTATGAAGGAACATTATTTTCTGAGTGGCAAGTGCCAGAAACCTGTACTATCCAAGATAAAAGGTAAGATTTTTAACTGTGAATGTCAATGTATTTACATGTTAAAAAAAAAAAAAGCATTTATATAATGTGGGCTTTCAGATTCAAAGCTGCGATTTAAAGTACATTTCCTTCCATACATAAAATACATCTGAAAATAGAGACAAAAGCATTCTGAAAATACAATAGAAATAAAATGTTTTGATGTTTTAAACTTTCTCTTATCGGCATACAATAATTAAAACTTTTAGGTTGAAAAATAGTGGGGAAATTTTCATTAATCTTATATGCATTTGTAGTTACTTCTTCTTTCCTGTTCTTTTCAAATGCCAGATCACCCAAGGCAGAAATGCATTGTTCTCAGGGCGTTCATGCTGTAAAACCAGTTGTTACAGGCCCAGTAAGTTGATTTTAATGATAATTTATTGAATCTTGAATAACAATGTCTGTTATATTTTCTCTTGAGCTTTTCAACCTAATTTAATCTGTTTTAAATAATATTGACTGTAACTCCAAATGACAGGTTCTTAAAAATTTTTGTCACTGTGTCATTAAGTTTTAGGTATATTTCATATCAAATTAAGTTTATTAAGTTTTAGATATATTTCATATCAAATTATAAAGTAAAACCTGATTTTATCTTAATTGATAAAATTTGATTCATTAATTTGTTTTGTTTATTTATTCATTCATTTGCAGTGCTAGAAATTGAAACCTGGGAAGCACATGTGATAGACAAGTGCTATACCCCAAGTCGCTACCTTATTGTTTTTTACTGACAAATATGTTTAAGTTCATAGCCCCTACTTTAATGAAAGTAGAACTCTCAGATCAATGAGCCTCCATCATGCACCCCAATGACACAATGCCCAGAGCAATTGTTAGCAGGACTTTTTTATTCCGCTCTATTTTCTCCACTTCAAGAAAACATAAAAATGCAGAGATTGAGAACAATGCTGAGTTTCCATAGTTTGCCAAACAAAAACAAACAAAATATAAAGGATTTTAAGTCACTGGTATTTTAATGTTAGTAACAAACTACTGGCCACATAACTGATGGCTGATGTGCCCATACCAGTGTATCTAAAGCTACTGCTACAGAGGCTCCCTGTGATGATTCTGCCTTTACTTTGCAGACTTGTGTCTTCTCTTTAATTATCTTTGTATTCAGGGCACAGGTAGCATGTGTGAAAGAGAACTAATGAATATAGTAAACCCTTTTTAAATCCTAAAAAAGTGGAAAGTATTTGAATTTGTCTTTTTGAGCATATGAATAAAGTTTCAAGAATTCATGAGGAAATAAAAAATGCTTATCCCTTTTGTTTATATTGGAAGCCATATAAATGTGTAACGTATAAAAATATACACACATACACATGCATAGGTAGGGATATCTATGTCACTTGTGTATCTGAATGTCATCAGATCCTACAACCTGAGTATGAACATTAAAGTTTTGAAATAACTGAAAGCTTTCCCAAGCAGAGCCTCGACATGTCTCCTGGAGAGCAAAATTATTCCAGTTAAGAAGCACTGAACTGAAACTGAATTGTAAATCAATGAGGAAGAAAAATATACCAAATAATAAAAATAGCAAGCTATCAAATCCCTTCTAAATGTATCATTCCTGGTAGCAAATTCTTATTGAGAGTAGCTAAAGAGTTGAATTGAATTAATTTTGTATGTATATTTATTGATTCTGCTTTGGAATTTATTCATTCCTCTTTCTCTAATCTCAGACAAGAGTCCTCAGGGACTTTTATGCCTAGGTCTAAATCTTAGCCACTTCCTGTTGCTGGAACACAATACCCATCACCTAAAACTTAAAGATGGAGAGGTTTACTTTGGCTCACAGTTTTTGTCTACAATTTTCTGGCTCTACAGCAAAAACAGATGGCAGAGGAAAAGTGGTTCAACACATGGCAGACAGAAGAGAGAGAAGGGAGGGGTCAGGAACAGGAATGCGCCCCTCCAAATCTCATCTCATGGTGACTTACCTTTTAACAGCATGTGCAGTTCAATTTTTCAGTGAAAGATACTGTGTTATTTACGTGATGTGTAATACCACAGAAACCAAATAGGAAAGTATCCATAGACAAACAGCATTCTTTTTCTTCCTAAAAGGCAAAATGATGAATAATACAAAATGCAGTGGATGAATATACTGACAAGTCCAGCACTTCCATGATCCAATCACCTTCCACATACAAGAGAAATTGGCTGGATGTTTTAGATCTAAACCATAACTGTCTATATTTGTATGTATTTATATATAAAGTTAACAGTATATTATATATTTTTTCTTTTAGAAAGAAGAAGAACGCTATTTGCCTGTAGACACTACTTATATTTGTTTCAAGTGGTATTATACAGTCTTGTAAGTAACATAGTAAAAAAAGCCCAAAGATAATTAATTTTTTTCAATTATTTAGCTTTAACTTTTAATTAATTACAAGTTAATCACCTATATTATGGTTTTCAGATAAATGAAGACAAGCTTGGCTTCACTTATCAACCAAAATATTCTCAAATATGATGCCAAATTAGTACTGAATAGTAAACTGATGAAAATAATAATAGCAACCACTATTTAAACACATCCTGTGTCTGCATCCCCATACTTTACGTATATCATCTTTCTCATTTTTATAATAGCACGTATATTATATTTGGAAGACTTACTTCCAAATTTTGATAATTACAAATAAAACTGTTATCAACATCTCTGTTAAGATTTTTGCATGGGCATAAGTTTTAAACTCCTTTGAGGAAATACCAAGGAGTGCTATTTATTGCTGGATAGCATGGTGTTTGTTTAGTTTTGTAAGAAACCACCAAACTGAAGTGTCTTCTCAAGTGTCTGTTTCCTTTTGCGTGGGCATCAGCAGAGTTTCTGGTGTTCCACGCCCTTGCAGGCATAACTGCTCTCAACAGTGTTCTGCTTTAACATTGCACTGACTATTTTGGGTCATTTTACTTCTTCATATAAACTTTAGAATCAGCTTATCATTATTTATAAAATAACTTGTTGAAATTTTGATTGAGATTTCATTGAGTATGTAAATCACTTTGAAACAATCTTGACAATATTGACTTTTTCTGTCCATGAACAGGGAACATCCATCCACTTACTTACTTCTTTGATTTATTTTGTCAGTTTTCTAGGTGTTCTTGTATAGCTCTTGTATATATTTTGTTAGATTTATACCTAAGTATTTGGTTTTTGGAGTCCAAATGTAGATGTAAATGATACCAAATGTTTAATTTGAAATTTCATTTCTCATGGCTGGCATTTAAGAAAGCAATTAGCTTTTGTATATTAATCTTATATCCTGCAACCCTGCGATAGTTGCTTATTACTTCAAGAGATTTATGGTTGATTTTGGTAATTTATTTCACAGTCACATCATCTGCAAATGAAGATAGTTTCATTTCTTCCTCCTGAACAGTATGTCTCAGTCTCTTTTTCTTATTGTATTAGCTTAGACTTCCAAAAGGATGCTGATAAAGAGTGTTGAGAAGGTATAACCATGGCTCCCTAAAAGTTTTTGTAGATTTTTAAAACCAATTTGAGAAAGTTATATCTCTATTCACAGTTTGCTACAGTGTTTTTTATGAATGGATGATGGGTTCTATCAGATACTTTCCTGCATCCATCAGTGTGATCCTGTGATTTTTCTTTAGCCTGTTGACATGATGCATTACATTAATTGTTTTTATATTGAACCAGCTTTGCATGGCTGTGATTAGCCACGCTTGGACATGATGTCTAATTATTTTCAGACATTTTTGAATGTGATTTGAAAATATTTTTTGAAGCTTTTTGTGTCTAAGTCTATAGTTTTGTTGTAATGTCTTTGTCTAGTTTTGGTATTGGGATGATTGTGTTTCATAGAATGAGTTAGGAAATATTCCTTTTTCTATTTTCTATAAGACATTACACAGAATTGGCATGATTTTTTTCCCTAAGTACTCGGTGTAAATCATCAGAGAATTTATGTAGACCCAGGCCTTTTGACTTTGAGGGCTGGTACTGTGAATGTCTTGTTCATTTTGTTCAAAATAGCTTCGGTTTTTAGAGGCTTTTTGCAGGGTTAAGTAAATTTTAGGATTTTTTTTTATTTCTATAAAGAATGCCATTGGTATTTTGATGGAGATTGTATTAGGTCTGCAAATCACTTAGGGTAGGATGGATACTTTAACAATATCAATTCTTCCAGCCCATGAACAGAGAATATCTTCATTGTGTGTGTGTGTGTGTGTGTGTGTGTGTGTGTGTGTGTGTACGTGTATGTGCATGCTCTTAATTTCATTCAGCAATGTTTTGTAATTTTTATTGTAGATATAACTTCATTTCTGTCTAAAATTTTTAAATTCCTAAAACCTTCTAAGGAACCTTCCTTCTAAGGAATTCAGATGCAACTACTATAGCATCTGCTGTTTTGCACCATTGCGTTCAGAATTGGCTACATAATTGTGGGTCCTGATGGAAAAGAAAAGTGTAGGAACTTTTGTTCAAAGATCAGGAAAAAATAATGTTAAAGGTATTAAATATAAACCTTGTTCTCTGGATAGTGTCATTATCTGTTACAATGCTTTTTATTTATAATATAGTATCAGCTTCCCACTAGCTTTTTCTCTCAATAGATCTACATATCATGCCCCAGTCAATGATAAGGTCTAGAAATCTCGGTCAGGTATCTTCCCTGTCTGTGAGCCTACTACCTCCACGTAGCCCCCAAGGTACTGTAACCTCTGCAGTTACATATGGAGATGGCTAAGAGGCTCGTTCATTCCCAGATCAGGACTCCAGGAGCCACATCGTGGTACTGCCATCCAGGAATAGACAGTACCCATAGGTATTACTCTAAGATGGTACTGGGTGCACATTCCTTATACTGACCATTCCCACACCCGAGCCTAGGTCCTCACGCAAGGGAGAAGCCATTTTGGGAACAAGGGAAAGGAGATGGCCAATGGGGACCACAGGTACCAAAGCCTGGAGGAATGAGTGGCAAAGAAACTGTCCCAGGGAGGCATAGATCAGGAGCCAGGGCAGTGCATGAGCCAAAGTCTCAGTCCCCAACACATGCTGCATTATCTTGTCATATGTGTTTACAAAACTCACATTCTATTAAAATTTCAAGACAGAAAATACAGGGCACAAAAACTCACATTCTATTCTATTATTAAACTTATCAGCACTGCCTCTTCCTTGGAGTCTATTGACCTATTGACTCTGTTTAGCCTCAAACCAATGTTCTAGTACTAGGGAAGTGAATTCTGGGCCCAAGGGTTAGCAACTAAACTCTCTGGCTTTCTTTTCTCCCTCTCCATCTCTATTCCCCTCTTCATTTCTCTCCCACCTTGATCTCAAGGGAAAATAGGAAATAAAATACAGAATAAGCCTGAAACAAATTAGACTACAAAGCAGGAAAGGTGAATCGTCCAGGAGGGCAGATTAATTGCCAAGTGCAATGGGACATTTTTAGTGGTCATTTTGCAACTTGATTTCTATGCCGCCTGAAGGTGGTGAGTCTCTCATTTTTCCTTAGCATGGTTTCATTCTTTTATTTATCTAGTGTCACAGTTTTCTATTTTTGTAATAATTCTTTCCTTGTCTATTTGTTCTTTTCTTTTGGCGTTTTGTCTCGAATCCTTACCTTACATGTCAATTTAGTTCGGGGTTTCCTCTTCTGCCTCCTTATTCTACACTTCAGTCCGAGTACTCGCTGAAGAAAGCCAGGCAAACTGGTACAGACACTGTAGAAGGTTGCTGAGATTGCTTCTTCCGTGGGAATCAGGATCATCCTATCAGCTGGTACCCATTCTTTCTCTACAAGGTTACAATATCAACAATAAAGCTTTCTTTTATTATTTACACATTTCTCTTGTGGCCTTCACATTTTTCTTCACAGATGCACTTGAGAATTATTCAGTAGCCCACTTCTCTCCCATGCCGCTGACGGATAGCATAGCACACAGCCAGTCAGATCTCCCTTAGTGCCAGGAATCATTTTTTTTAATCACTCATGGACTGTATTGAATTGTGTTCATGGGGGCATAATTCCCCTATCAAGATTTACTGTACTGTGAGGGTAGGGGCACAGCTCAGAGGCAGAGTACTTGCCAACAATGGGCAAGGATATGGATTCAATCCCCAGCACCCCACACAAGAATTATAGTGTCTATTTTTAGTAACATTCTAACACATTGGGCCAAACATATGAAATATAATATTCAGAAGCTCACTGAATATCCATATGTTGATCAAGTTATTTCCATTTCATTTTGTGCACAATGTACTAGGAAATATGCAGTAATTAGTAAATGGAAGAAAATAGTCCTGAGGTATATTGAGATTATATGGTGAAAAATATGTATAAACAAAGTAAAGAGCTCTATTTTCCAAAAAGGATGCAGGTAAACATAGAAATGAATATTTTTTTCTTTTCAGAGTTGATGAATGAAAGATTTGTAATGCTAAAAAGTGGTTTTATATTTCACATAAATTATAACATGTTAACACTGTAGGCTTTTATGTGAAATACTGAATTTTAAAGAGAATTAGTCATGCAACTTTGATTATGTGAACTTGCAATATTGTTAAGGAAGAATGCAGAGTCAAGCCTGCAGTGACAAATGATAATCAATAAATTTATTGATAGAAATTTGTAAATTTTGTTTTTAATTCTACATTCAGCATCTAATTGTTTATAGATATATAATGGAAAATAGAAAGAATATTCAAAGATTTAAAAATATGTATTGAAAGCAAAACATTGAACTAATATAGAATGTGCTGTTTGCTAACATGTGTTTACTATTTTTTTCTCAACAGAAATATATTTGAAAATTTAACCCAGGTAAAAAAATGTTCAATTTTATATATCCTTCATATATTGCTAATATATTGTTTCCCTCTTTCTTTCAATATGAAATTTTCTAAAGTAATTTTGCAATAAAATTTGCTTAGATCAATGGTACCCAAAATATGTTTTAGGATGCACAGGGGCTCCCTAAGACTTATTTGGAAGGAGTCCATGAGGTCCACTCTTTTCCAACAGTGCATTTGTGTGAGGAGGAATTTTTTCCCATATGCTTCCACCAAAACAACATGCACAAAACAGCAGGAACAAATATTAATATTAAATTTTGGGAAATACAGGTTTTTGCACAGAATATGTTAATCTATAATGGATTGATGATAGTTTTAAAAGTAAATAAATACATATATACATATCTTTAAATGTTCTCAGTTTTAATTTGTTATATATTATATTTTAAAAATTTTAATACTCTGGAATAGAGAATGATTAGATATACAGTAGAGAGATATATTCAAAAATTTAAAAATTGAAATAATATGATGTTTAGAAATTGTACCTCTATATAGATATTTTATTTTTTTTCTAAAAGTAATAATTTACTGG